AGATGAGCTCTGGCTCTTTGGTTGTAGTATGGCATTTTCTCCTAAGTATATTGTTTATCTTTACTTCCATAACCATCAGACTTTCATTAAGCACTTACAGGGGCAAAAGATAGGAAACAAAATGGAACTTTATAGCAATAACTAAGATATGTAATTTGAATCTTACTGAAGATAGGAAAAAGCTTGCTAGGCACTAAAAGCACTACTTGATTCTATGGCATTCTTGGGCTGAAATGAATCACTCATCCTTCTCCAAAGTACTTCATTTCTCTCTTACATTGCCTACTTTACTAATCTCAACTCTGGGTTCCCACTTGCCCAGACTCAATCTATTATTTCAAGCTCTTTACTCATTCTATAAGTCCAACTCTGTTGGCTCAGCTGCTGAGCTCCAAAATGCTTAACACCTGTTCAGTTTTTTATTGAACTACCTTTATTCAGCCTCATGTGCCTTCTGCAATATTGTCCTATCCTATCTCCTGATTGCTGCTTCTCCATGCTCTGGTATTTTACAAGTCATATCTTCCTAAAAAATAAATTGTCCTAAATTGTTACTCTTCAGTTTAACAATAGTACCCTGCCACACATAGGACAATTACAAATGTATACAATACCCTCCATAATTGTGCTTTAATTCTCCAGTATTAAGCATATGGTGTGAATTTAAACTCAACATGTGATCCAAGCAAATGCTCTATCTTGCATTTTCCCACCTCATGTCCTCTGCTCAACCAAATTGCCATTTTTAACTCTAATGCCATTTGCCATATTCCACATGTGTTTTAAGTCTTTACCTGATGTATTAGAATATGAGTTTCTTGGGGAAGATTTTATATATGGATGATCTTAGTACTCTTCAAAGCACCTATGTATTTTAATGAATGTTTGTTCAGTGATACAGAATGGAATGCAATGGAATAAAATAAAATGTCAGATCCTTTGGCAGGATTATACCTGCCAGGATTATTTAGCTTTTTTTTCCCACAGGGAACATGAGGTTCAATATGTTCACTCCCCAGAGAGAATCACTCTTGGGTACCTTAAATCTAAATAAAACCTCTAAAATTCTCTCTAAAACAATAGTTATAAAAACTGAATAATTTCTTCCAAAGTTTGCAGCCCCCAAATTCTCACCGTTACCCAGAGTTAATAAAAACTGCCAATATAGGATCAATTACCTTATCTTCCCTAATTGGCAGATTCAGTAAAACTGACTTATCCTCATGTCATTTCACAGTGGTTGAATTTCTAACATGCCCCATAATAAAATGCTGTTGAAATGAAGATAGCAAAGGATCCTGTCACAGAACATACAGGAGCATATCTGTAATATTCACAGTGTACTTAGATTTGCAAATATTTTTATCTTGCTCTTCATTTGAGTAAGGGAGCATGTGCCCTCTGGTATGAGAAGAATTTAAATCAATTTCAACAAACAAAACCTGTGTCTTTAATTTTACCATCTATAATCATTGTAAGAAAATGGGGGATGACTTAATGATTTTAAGTCTATCTACACAAAAATCAAATAACTGAAATCTTATATTAGGTTGGAACTGATGTAGCAGAGGGCAGATACCTTTTGAAGTAGCTTTATGTTACTGATGTATTTTGTTGCCAGAAAGAGAAATTCCCCATTTCCCTCGATTTACAAGTTTTAAATGGTGGGAGAGGAACAAACAAAACAACAACAATAACAGCAACAACAAAAAGCAGCAAAGTGAATCAACTATTTAAGTAAGGCTTTAGTTTGAACTCATTTGCCCAAGAAGGTTAATCTTCTTTCATTTTATGAAACATGAAAACTAAGAGTTTTAAAAATGTATACTTTTCATATACATATTTCATAATATATATAAATTCAATTTATCTTTGACACAATTGTACATATTTATACACAACAGTAAGATAGTTTGATATATGCATTTAATGTGTGATGATAAAATCAGTGTATCAACTTAATTTTAAATTTAGATTGAATTAAATAATTTTCTTCTCACCAAAATTAGTTCCAAGTAACAGAAGAATATTGCTACCAACTGTCAGAATTTTTATGGACTATGTGTCTTTTTTTTCTTTTTTGTGATACTGGAGACTTAACCCAAGGACATTGTACTCTGAGCTACATCCCTAGATATTTTTATTTTGAGATAGGGTCTAAGTTGCCCAGGCTAACTGAAACATGTGTTCCTCCTCCTTCAGTTTCCCAATGCCTGCACCACCACACCCAGCTTCTTGTCTTAATTTTATAAAAACTAATGCATCCTTAAGTGTATTTGAATGGTTAGAGATAGGAGTTAGCCTCACTGAGCCAGCAAACCAATTGCTTCTCTTCTCATTATACACTTTATATGAATATAAGTACTGGATGTAAAATGTTTCATAATCAGCTTGCATATGATCCTTTGGATTTTTTTTTGTTTCAAATTATTTTCTTCAATGCAATTTCATACTCATCAGAAGCAGCATGTTTTGAAATAATGGACAATCTATTCAAATTTTATGGCAATATTAGTCAAATATTTTCCATTCCATTCACTTTATATCTTCTGGAGAAAAGTACAAAACATTCCAGGTAATTGTCAGAATATTAAGATACTGGATGGCCTGTCTAACCTTAATAAAGAGTCTTTTCAGAGTGGCAAGCTAAGACCTTTCCTTGGAGTTGCTTTAATTTATTCACACTTATCTTTTGGAGCCCTTCTTCATGGCTCTCCCTTTATATTCCCAGCATTCAGCATCTGCACCCCGCCTTCTGAAGATCAATGTTACAGTGCTCATCTTGCATTTTCATGAAATGCTTCATATTCCCAAATTAAACACATTAAAACTTCGAATGGCAGGAAAAACAGAAACCAACTAGCTCAACACACTTATTTCCTAAGTGAAGATATTTAGAGCCTGAGTGACTTAGTGGTTTCAGAAAAATCACAAATTTAGTTAGTGCTACAAACCCAATTTCTAGGGCAAGAAGGCTGTCTTAAGTTAGATTCCTCTAAAACAGATCATGAAGGAAAAATATTGAAACAGTGTATTTGGGAGTTGATTTCATAATGCATTATGAAAGTGTAATAATTTGAAGGAAGTTACTCTGTGGACAACTGGAATTCAGTCTTGCTGATGAATATGTAAGAGACTATGAGGAACACACCTTAGAATTATCCCACCATGGTATATGGATTCCACGGGATTTATCTATCAACTGCCATCAATCATAGGTTAAGGCAGCACTGGCAGTGCTACAACTACTTCCTGTCCACACTTAAATTGGCAGAGATGCTTTTACATCTCAGTAACACTCTCAGACATAATGAGTCCATTGGCATATCCCCAAATTCTGTACATAAAACTTCCAACACAGGCCAAAAAGAAGAGGACAGACAATGGTCCACAAGAAGAGTGCATGATCCACACAAGGAAAATGGTACAATTAGAGAACTAGCACCAGAGTGATCTTCCTTCCTTCCTTCCTCAGATGTTCAATTAAGATATAAGGCAATTAACATCACTAACAACATCCATGTGATAATTATAATAGATTTGATGCTTCCCCCCCCTGATTACCATATCTCCACTTCTTCTTAAATGCTTCATCCTAAACTGCTGTAACCAGTAAACTGCTTTATGGGCAGTAATAACAAGAACCAGCTCCATTTATTAACGAAATGTGTAGCTTATTAAATAATTAAAAATCATGTATCTTTTGTCTTCATGGAAGAACTGTGAAGCTAGATCTGACAAATCATTATAAAATGAGGAAATTAAGTTGGAGAAAATATGGCTTTAGGAGGCATGAGTTAAGGGTGCAGACATTCCCTTATATCTAAGAAACTTGGATCCTGAGAATTGCCACATAAAATAAAGGATACCCAGTAAAAAAAAGTGAATTTCCAATAAGCAATGAAAAACTGGGGAAATAAACTTTTAAAACATGTTGATTGTTTATCCAAAATTCAAATGTACCTAGACTTCTTGTATTTTTATTTGCTAAGTGTAGTGTCCTTAATCATGGGGCAGTCAACAAGATTTTATTTGCAAGTGTGTCCTCACAAACTGGGCAATGCCCTATTCCAACCATAAAACTCAGAGCTACATTTAACATTTTATAGTGTTTCTTAAAATGAAGCACACTCAGATTCTGGTTCAGAATAGTTTTGTAGAAATCTTAATCACAGAAACAACAAATGCCTTCAGACAACTTAAAATTATAAATTGAAGAGAGCTATGACAGAAATATTAAAATTAAAATGTTCTATTTTACAGGAAAGCAATGTTACAGATCCTCAGTTTGTCTTCAGATTTGGCAAGTTCTAAATAACTACAAATTGAAGGTAAAAATATGTTAAAATATTTTAAATATTCAAATGTGCATTGAAGGTAGTTCCTACAGAAACTGTCCCCTGAAACCAAAATTTTAGTAGGTCATATACCCTGCATTATTCTGTCCCAGAAATAAGTTTGATGTTTTTTAAATACTGAAATCCTAGTTATGTTGTATTTGACAAAGTAGTATCTTGCTCTTTTTGTGTTTCTATAAGGAATATACTTAAGATTGGGTAACTTACAAAGAATAGAAATTAATTTTCTTACAGTTCTAAAGGCTGGGAAGTCCAAAAATCAAGGTGTTAGCATCTGTTGAATCTTCTTGCTGAGTCCTCTCGTGGAAGGGCAAACAATTGCCAAATGCTCATGAAGCTTCTTTTATAAGGGTCATAATCCCATTCACCTGGGAAGAACCTTCATAGTCTGATAATTCTTAAAGGCCCCACAGTTTACTACTATCATATTGGCAACTGAATTTTACAGGGTCCTATTTAAACCATAGCAACAAAGATTACAAAACATACTTGGCAAAATTTATTTTTAACTATTGTTGATTTGAAGCTTTAATTCTTTCTTGTCTATAAATCATGACTTGTGTGTTTATATGTGTATGTAATACACATATACATACCACGCTTGTTTTATAGTAGAAAACACATAGCATACAATATGCTAACCTTATGTTGTTGTACTTGGCATTTTAGGTCTTCAAGGTCAGGTCCAAGGGGCTCTTTCTCCATTTTCCTTGTTCTCTCTTCTGTTTTTGTCAGCCAGTCATTTAACTCTTTCAGTTTCTGATTCTGGAGATCCATTAGAACTTTATGTAAACTGAAAATTTGAAAAAAGTCTATTATTACCTCTAGTAAAGCAAATTATTTTTAGCAAACATGTAACAAGGTAAGACAGTTGATATTTATAATTTATGGCATACTCAAAATTTTCAGTATCTTTTGGACATTAAGAATGGCATAAGTAAAGCTCATTATCAATCACCTCTGAAACTATCATTTCTCAGGCTTATTAGAGATCATACATCCCAATTTCCAGAAAGATTCCCATAGTTAACAAAGCATGCATATGCTAACTAAAGTGTGAACAATATTTGGTAATTGAATCAGTAATATATCTTTTTATTAAAATCCTATTTATGATCTATTTGAAAAAATATTTCCCATTAGGAAAAAAAATCCCATTATTTAGTATGTGTGGTGGTTGAAGATGGCCACAAATCATTATTTTTAAAGTTAAATCAATTTCTTTTAAAACTCATACATAAAAATATTAAAATTTTACATATGAGGAACTGTGTGATATTTCAGTACATGCATACATTTAATAACCTTTAAATCAGGTAAAACTTTTGTTCTCCTAACTTTATCATTTGATTATGGCAAACACTTTCAAAATCCTTTCTTAAAATATTTTTTTAGTTGTACATGGACCCAATATCTTTATTTAATTTATTTATTTTTATGTGGTGCTGAGGATAGAACCCAGGGCTTCACACATGCTAGGCAAGGGCTCTGCCTTGAGCTACAACCCCAGCTCCCCAAATCCTTTCTTCTATCTTTTTGAAATGTTATTTTTTTAAGATTATTATTTCTAGTCACCCTGCTGTGCTACAGCACTTCAGAATTTCTTACTCTATCTAACCATAACTTTATATCCAGTGATCAACCTTTCCTCATCCCTGACTTATTTTGGCCAATACAATGGAATAGAATTGACAATGAACCAGTTCTAAATTTAGGCTGTAAGAGAAATGACAGGATTTTTATTTTCTTTTAGAGCCCAGATTCCATGCTATAATAGAGACAAGGCTAAAGTACTAAATGATTAGTGACCATGTACAGGATGACCCTAGAATATGAAATGCTATCTTAGAAGTAAGTTTCCAGCTGAATGCAGCCCAAGGAGTAATCCCAGCTTCATCACTGGAAGCAGAGGAATAACCTGCCTGAACCCTGCCTATTTTCTTGATTTATAAGATAATAGTGAAATTATAATTTATTATTTTAAGACACTAAAATTTAAAGTCATTTGTTATGCAGAAATAGACAAAGAATTTTTTTTCAATGACACAGGAAATAATGGACTATGCAAAGAATTTAAAGTCCAAAGGCCTAGGTTCATAGCCCAGTGATAAACCCTAGACCACATTCTTTTTTTTTTTTTTTTTAAGAGAGAGTGAGAGAGGAGAGAGAGAGAGAGAGAAATTTTTTAATATTTATTTTTTAGTTCTCAGAGGACACAACATCTTTGTTCGTAGGTGGTGCTGAGGATCGAACCCGGGCCGCACGCATGCCAGGCGAGCGCGCTACCGCTTGAGCCACATCCCCAGCCCATAGACCACATTCTTAAACCTTCTCAATTACATATCCAGCATCAGGAACATGAAATAATACCTTGCCTGTCAATTACACAATTTTATAGTGAGGATGAAAATACAAATATGGCATAAGTTCATCCACTGATAGAACAAAAACTTAAGACTCAAATGAGAAATACTAACATTGATTTTAAGGTAAATATTATTTTCCATTTTTTAAAAAAGTCATATTTAAAGCATTTTTGAAAGTACAATATATTGAATACTGATCCTATAAGCAGGTGCAATTTTAATTAGAAATTTATTACTCTTATTTATGGAATATTTACTAGAAATTTTCATTAATTGGCACATTAATGCAAAATATATTCATAAAGGAGTCTATAAAATTATTTTGATTGAACCATTTACATATTAGAGGCACAAATATCCTGAGGCACATGGATATCAGACAGAAATGTAGACATTTTCTTTTTATGGAAACAGAGATGAAACATCCATTTAAGTGAAAGGAAAACTGAAAGTTGTTGTTTAAACCTCTTAGACAATGAATACCATCCCAGTATCACAAGTTATGTAAATAAATCTTTTACTTTGTTGTTTTAGTCTATCATTTGAGAATGGACCAGATAATAAGATTCTATGAGAATAAAATTTCATGAATACTGGATGCAGTATCATAACATGTTTTTGTTGTTTTTTCCTGCTCAGTTTGTCATTATGTTAAGCTAAAAACTTTCACATTTCAAGACTTAAAAAACGAACCCACAGTATTACTTACACTTGAATAAAAGTTTCTAGTCTAACACATATGTTTTATTAGAGTTAACAACAGAATTCATTTAAGAATGTCATTTACATTTTAGCTTATACATAGATATTTCATTCAACAAGTATTTACTGAGTTCTGTATGTATGCATGAAACTCCTATTTGTTAGGCATGGGCAAAGAAAATACCTATCCTCATAGGGTACAGTGGCATACGCCTATAATCCCAGCTGCTTTGGAGGCTGAGGCAGGAGGTTCGCAAGTTCAAAGCCAACCTCAGCAAAAGTGGGGCACTAAGCAACTCAGTGAGATCCTGTCGCTAAATAAAACACACAAATAAAGGGCTGGGGATGTGGCTGGACAGTTGAGTGCCCCTGAGTCAATCTCGGGTATCCAAAAGAAACAAACAAAAAAACCTATACTCGTCTTTGAATAGCCTGGAGAATCTTAAAGGAATAGATAAATCAACAATTACAATATGACAAGATCATCCTCTGAAAGGAAAATTCACTGGTGGGTATGACAAATTTAGAAAAACAATAATATCCACCCGGGGAACCTCTGAAAAGAATTTAACTTTCTACAATTTTTCTTGGGATTACAGGAACAATTATGTTTAAGATAACATTCAAAACAGTTTTTGCTTTTTCATTATTGTTTTCTTAGATACCCTAATTAACCAGTAATGTTTGAACAGTCTTTATTGCTTTCTATGTTGGGGCTACATGAAACAAATTATCAGGTAGTAAAAGTTGCTGTGCTTTCTTCCTCCCTGAGGCCTCTAAAGAAAGAGCATCAATAAATGCATGTGAATTACAGGCCACAGGTCTCTGGATGAGCAGCAAGAAGGGAGTAGTGAGTTTCCCACGGCAAGGCAGGCCAGAAGAAGTAGTAAACATGAGAGGGTGCTATGAAAAGGTCAGATTAGGAGCCCTCAAAACACCATGATCCTGTTTGCCAGGTGTGAAAGAAGGGGTAACTTCAGGGAGGGGAAAACTAACCATTAGGTTAAAATATCATGAATGCAATATTAAAATAAATTGGCTAATGTTTACTCAACACTTTGGTGTGATGACCTTGCCATTAAATATTTTATATGTAGTAGTTCAGTGATTCCTAAACAACGGTATGCATTTTAGTTGTAGTTTTTAAAATAGTTTTGGGGGCTAGGGCTATAACTTAGTGGTTGAGTGCTTGCCTCACATGCATGAGACACTGGATTTGATCCTCGGCCCCACATAAAAAAATAAATAAAACAAAAGTATTGTGTCTACCTACAACTAAAAAAAAATAAAGTAGAATAAATAGTTTTGATGGCACAATAAAACAAATTAGGGAAATTATTTTAATGTTTTACATTATATATATATATATATATATATATATATATATATATATATATATACAATAGGTACATATAGTGTACATAAATTTTATATTCTCAATTTTATGATTTAGAAAGTAAATCAGTCAATTTAAGGAAAATTATTAAATATATAATGATAAAAAAAGGTGCTGACAATAAAAAAATTAGGAAAGTGTAACATAATTGGCAAGTGTTTGGCAAATATTGAATTACCATATTTGTTCCTCTTTACCACCAACTGAGGTATATTATACTATTGTTAATTTATTACTAAGGACACTGGAAATTCAAAAGTCTTAGAAACTTGCAAAAGGTGACAGAGTGGCATTTGAAACCAGTATAAAAATTGGAAACTATTTGTGATCCAAGTCTGTGCTCTAAACTTTTATTTTACTTTGTCATGGAAATAATACTGTATTAGTTGGGGCCATACAAATCACTAATATTTTAGATTTTTAGTCCATAGAAAAGATAATTTCAGTACTGATCAACTTAAAATATGATTGAAATGACAAGTTCTACATTTCCAACATTCTAAAGATGCAAATAAATTTGTGAAAAATCATCAAATTCACACAGAAAATCTACCTTTCACCTACAAAAAATAAGTTTTCATTTTTCTTGATTTCCTTTTATTTTTTTCAAGTGATCATGTAGAAGGGGAATAAAAGCAAAAAGAAAATGGATTATACATATATGACAGTGAGATAGTGGAATTGGGATAAAACAGTGCAGGGCAGGAGATGATCCTGACAATACCTGAAAGCAGAAGTATGGCAGGATATGATACTAGGAACTGCTGCAACCAACTTCCACTCACTAGGATCATCTAAGGACAGAGAAAGCTAACAAAATAGACTAAAATAACCTGGGACTTGGACAACATGGAGTTAGAGACTTAATGGTCCCTAGAGTCACCCCACCTGTGAATTTATTGTTCTATAACATAGTAGACATCAGTAAGGTTTTACCACATGCAGTATGTCTAAATACAAATTCTAAGTTAGCAGATTTATGATGGGGCCTGAGGTTCACTTTTCTAAGTTCCCAAGGGATGCCTATGGGGTTAGTCTATATATCACACATTAAGGAATACTGGTATAATGCACTCTGTGTGTTGGGTTTTTGTTAGTTGCAATAAAAGGCAATCTAGGGAATACCATTTTTCAAACAATTTTACTAGAGGGCTGGGGTTGTGGCTCAGCAGTAGAGCACTCATTTCGCATATGAGAGGCCCTCGGTTTATTCCTCAGCACTACATAAAAAATACATAAACAAAATAAAGGTATTGTTTACAACTAAAAAATAAATATTAAAAATATTTACTAGAGATTTGTCTCTTAGCTGACACCCTACTATGG